GATGGTAGTTTTCTGCATTCCTATTGAGTTTTCTTGGTCAAATCACAGACTACTTGTTTTCAAAAGCTGAGAAATATTTCAGAATATTCTACAAACTGTAAAAAAAAAAATTAAACACCAACCTGCCATCAGTATTGTAATGTAATTCCATAACTGCTCCACTGTGACCTTTCAAAGTGGCATAATTATCACAGTCACCATACACATTCCATAGTACTGAAATGAGAGGATCAAGCCTTAGTATTTCCCCTGAAAACTGGAATATATCAAACAACCATTTCAAATCAAAGGCATTTAATAGTCTTCAATTAGGCAGATGTTGTTGCATATAAGATTGCAAGAAGTGAAAATGCTGTTAATATCTATCTTAATTGACATATTTAGGAACAGACAGAAGCACAGAGAAAATAAAATTCTGGTTAATCTAAATGATGTAAATCTGCCGGCCCATGGGCCAGACGCATCACAATGAAACCACGCCCACCCCATTGCCAGCAATGGGGAAAAAGCTCTGATAAGTCATGTGACATCACGCGATGTCATAGGTTTGACATGCCTGATGAAAAAGGTAAAGCATTCTTTTGTAAATGACAATAAAGTTAGTTAACTTAATCTGCAAGCTTTAACAAGCCGATCACAGATTACAGAATTGACTTACGTATCAACCTGTCAAACCCAGCTGAGGCTAAGGTGGCTCCATTAGGATGGAACTTGCAACAATAAACCTCTCCTTCATGACCAGAAAGCAACATTATGGGTGCTTGCAAGGAGGAACATCTTGGAGGGCCCTAAAATAAAAAGAAAATGCAACATATTACAGAAGACATAAATAAATACAAACTGTTGATAGAAAAAAATTAAGTCAGAAAGAAAACTGATCTATACATTTTGAAAAGGTCAGACACTACTACTAAGAAAACAGGAAAAATATTTTAATCATTGGAAAATGCAAACATGCAGCTATGGCTAAAGTAGCAGAAACTGAAGGTCCAACTGCAGACAATGAATTAGGAAAGATTGGATTAAAAATCTATAAACATTTATTCTATTAGTACCAGCATTTGCACAAAAAGAGAGATCAATAAGTTTACTGTTATTATTTGTTCTGCATCACATAGAAAAAGTTGAAGATTACTTCTTTCCCTTCAGAGAATAAAATAGAATAAAAACATGAATTACAGGAAAAGAGGTTCCCAGGAGTATTAAGGGAAAAACATTTTAAAGAATAAAAGCAATTTGACTGTGAAATCAAATACTTAGAAAGATTGTGAGCTTTCTTGCTTGGGATGCATTCAAGCAAAGACTAGACAGGCATCTATCAAGAATGCTTTAATTTGAATACCTCTTTTAAACTAATGATTGGATTCAATGGCTGAAATTAACTTTTTCCAACACTACAATTTTCTAAGAGTGTGGAATCTCCAAATTTAAATATAAGAAATGATCTACCCAGGGCCAACCTTATACCTGTTGGTAGACCCATTCTGGAAAAGCCTTACCATCACTATGATGAAAATCCTTTTTTTTATTAAAAGTTTTACAAATTTAATACAATATAACCCAGCTGTTATAAGATTCAACATCAAATTAATTTCTTTAACATCAAAATCAACCGTAATACCCAACAAAAATAATTGTGGAGTAAACTTTATCTTTCTCTTAAAAATCTTTTGAATATTCCACTAAATCTTAATCCAAAAAGCTTTTATATCTCTACAAGTCCACCAAATATGAAAATAGGTTGCATCTAAGCTTCCACATTTCCAACATTTGGGCTGTAAATTAGGATACATGCGGGACAACTTTTGGGGGTCCAAATGCCATCTATAAAACATTTTAGAAAAATTTTCTCTTAAATTTTGTGCTTGAGTAAATTTTACATTTCTAACCCAAATTGTCTCCCATGTATCCAATAAAATTGGTTCCTGAATATTTTGAGCCCATTTAACCATATAATCTTTAACTAACTCCGTTTCAGAATCTAATTCTATTAAAACATTATAAATTCTCTTTATGTGGGCTCGAGTTTGATCTTTAATCTGTTTTACCAAATTCACATTCTCTAAAGTAATTCCAACCTTTTGATCTAGAGTCCACCTTCCTAACAATTGATTATACTGAAACCAAGAGTATACAATATTTTCTTGCTTCAGCTCAACTAAAGATTTTAATTGCCAATCCTTCCCTACCAAACTAAGTAATTCCTTATAAGAAATCCTGTCCAAATTCACAACCCTAGATATTCCCTCTATCGTGTGTCCAGGAATTCCCCAAATTGGAATTTTATAATTTAACCTATAATAATACTTCTTCCAGACATGCAACAAAGCATTTCTCAAGATTTAAAAACCTGGTCCACTTTTTTTTATCATAAATTAGATAAGCATGCCATCCATATACTAAATCCCATCCCTCAAGAGAAAGGACATTTTTATTTGTTAAATTGAGCCAATCACCAATCAACGTTAAAGCCACCACATCATAGTAGAGTTTTAAATTAGGCGCCTTAAGTCCTCCTCTTTCCTGTACATCTTGTATAATCTTAAACTTAACTCTTGGTTTTTTCCCTGCCCATATAAACTTATTAATCCCCTTCTGCCATTCCTCCAAGTTAGCATCTTTTTTCAAAATAGGTATCATTTGAAACAAAAAAAGAAACTTTGGAAGAATATTCATTTTAACTGCTGAAATTCTTCCCAACAAAGATAACTGTAGTTTTTTCCAATCATTTAAATCCTTCTGAACTTTTGCCCATAATGTCTCATAATTATTTTTATACAATTTAACATTAGAAGCTGTAATATATACTCCTAAATATTTAACCTTTCTCACTATTTCAAAACATGTTAATTTAGCCAAAATATCCTTTTCCTTCATAGACATATTTTTCGATAATATTTTAGTCTTAGTATTATTTACCTTAAAACCAGAAACCTTGCCATACTGAGTTAAAATTTCAACCAAATCCCTAACCGAATCTGTCGGTTGAGATAATGTCACAACCAAATCGTCAGCGAAAGCTCTCAACTTATAATCATTCTTATTTATTTTTATTCCCTTAATTCTAGATGATTCTCGAATTTTAATAAGTAAAATCTCCATAGTTAAAACAAATAACAATGGGGATAAAGGACATCCCTTTCTAGTACCCTTTTCAATATTAAATGCATCTATTAATCCCCCATTAACTATAATTTGTGCAGATTGTTGTTGATATATAGCCTTAGGAGTATACAAAAATTTATCCCCAAAGTTCATTTTCTCTACCACTCTCAATAAAAATTGCCAATCTAATTGATCAAACGCTTTTTCAGTGTCCCAAAAAAATAAAAGCAGCAGGGATTTGGTTGTTCTTGTCTAAATACTCAATTAAATTAACAATTTGTCGATGAAAATCCTTTTTCTACACACTATCATACTGAGTCATTCTTCTCATCACAAGTGATGAAAAATAATTGCAAAATAACTAAAATGGAATCAAGACTTTTCGACATTTTTATGTTTGCTTATATGTTAATGTGGGCGTTAACATCCTATGTAAATTGAACAAATTCGTATAGCATTCACTAAGCGACATTTGGGAAAATGCAGCAAATACATGTATAAACAAGTCAACATCTTTAATAGAAAGTTTAATAATAGAGGATAATCATTGTTCAGAGTTGAGCAGCATGGAAGTTTAATATAGTGGTGATTATTATGGTTTGTTGCACATTCAGCCAGAAGTTTAGACTAGATCTGTCATTTTATCCATCTATTGAATCCTTCCCCAGGGCCTGGGTTAGGCAGATGTTCTAATAGAATATTTGTAGTTCAGGGCTGAACTGTGGTATCCTTGCTGCTCTCTCAACTTTGGTTGTTTTCTTGTAAATGTTTCATTCCACAACTAGGTAATATCAGAGAGCAATACCCACTCCCTTCTACCACTGATGTTACCTAGTTGGGTATTGAGACATCTGTGGGAAAACAGCCAAGCTCAGAAAGCAACAACCCCATAGGCAGATGTTATTTGATGGATGTAGAAGGCATTGCGTTATTATTACCACCGTCACCTTCTATCCCAAAACACAGCAAGTGGTGGCTGAGGAATTCTGGGAGTTGAAGTCCACAAGTCATAGAAGGGCCAAGTTTGAAGCCCACTAAGTTAAAGTGTTGATAATAATGCAAAATAAAATTCTAAATCGGTTTAGCAAAAAGATATGAGAATTAAGAAATGCTGCTTAATTAAGATAACCTTTATTGTCTTTTTTTTTTTAAACTGGGGGCACACTGGCACACATTAAAAATGGAATTCTGTTGCCTGCTCTCAAAAGCGTACACATTACTACAATGAATAATGTTGGATTCCTAGTAAGTAGTAGAATATGAAAGAAGGAAAATGTAAATAAGAAACAATGGGGCAATAAGGACAAATATTTCAAAGAAGAAAGAGGGGGGAAATGTAAAGAATAGAAGAGTACTGTTACAAACTGCTGTTAACAAAAAAGGATATATTACGTGTATATGTGTGTAATGTTTGTTGTGTTTTGTTTTGTTTTGTTGGTCTAAAATAATAATAATAACAAAAAAAGCGTACACATAAGATCAAACAATTCCGGGGGAAAGAAGCTGGCTAACCGCTCCGCCTCCAACATTCATTTCACCGGAAACCTCAGCAGCGTCCCCCGGAGAAACTCACCGCCTGCAACAAGGCGCCCGGAGGCGGTTGCCCGGCTCCGGGACCCGGCCCCAAGATGAGCTCATGGCGGGGTTTCTTAGCAGCTGCCGCCGCTGCCACCAAAGCCGTATCCGGCCCGGGAGCCTTCCGTTTCTGTGGGTCGATCATCGCTTTTCCTCAACGCTGCCACGCTGGGCCCAGAGTGGAGAAGCCACGCCCTCCTCTCCTCATTGGCGTCTTTATGCAAAGCACACGGCCCTTCCCGACGCCGATTGGTGCAAGACGCGTCGGGTAAAGAGGCGGGAGATCCAAGACGTAGGCGTTGACGTCGCCGTGCTTAACATGGGGAACGCTGAATGGTCGAGGTTCTCGCTCGACCCTGGGTTTATTCTGTCTCCCCATTGGCTGAAAGCGAGAAGACGGCTGCTGTGCGCTGAGGCAGGCGGATAACGGAGAAGGCTGTTAGAGGGGAGTCCTAATCGGTATCCTGATGGTGGTACGATGCGAGTCGGGGCAAGAAGGGCGGGGAAGGCGGTTTCAAGTTTAAATCTCTCTTCAGTTTGGCTTCTTCTCAAGGGATATATATGTGTGTATAACAACGCCTGGCACTTTCTCCTCAGGGTTTTTCTGGTGAGGTAATGGTAGTTTAGTCCAACATTGGATTTGAAATTGAAGTGAAGGATTAAGGTTACGGCTCCCATCATCCGCTGCCGGGGGGGAGGGGGGAACAAGATACACGTTGACCGGAATGGAAAAGAAGAGCTTGGACTGTTCTTTACTTACTTGTGTTGTTTGTAATATGTTTCCATTAACTACTTTTTTTTTTAGCTGCCGAGGGATAATATAGAATATAGAAAAGGAAACTTGACCAAAAGATTTGAATAAACTCCTTTTGTGGTAGTTGAAAGCAATGGATGAGCTTCCGGAACTCTATGCTATTTTCCAAGGAGAGGTATGCTTCCAAACAGTTAATTTTCAGGGAAATAAGGTTGAATACATAACAAAAAAAGTGTTTTCACAGTTCACAATGTTTTAAGTTCAGATAGGTTGAATAGATACTAAGATTTTTTTTTCAATAAACATAGTCCATTGTTTTAAAAAAATCCTTCATATAAGTGACTAGGATGTTTCTAATCAATAGATTTAGGAACTGAGTAAGTGGCTTTGGTAAAGCTTCTTGAATAACATAACACAGTAACAGAAATAGTGCAGAATTGTGCTATAGCAGTTGGTTGTTTGGTGCTGAATTTCTAATATATATATATATATATATATATATATATATATATATATATATATATATATATATATATATATATAGGTCTTTGGTTGTTCGGGTTTTCTCCCGCGTAAAATTGGAAGTGTCTTGGCAACGTTTCGACGAAGTCACATTCGTCATCTTCAGGCTGGTGTTACAAGAACGCCAGAAACAAACCCCTCCTCCCTCACAGCCACACATGAAACAAACAGTGCATAACATCTCAGATAGGATCCTCACCAAAGCCGAAACCAATGTCCTTTCCAAAGGATTCAACTTTGCAGTCGCTCCCAAACACATCCCCACTGAAACCATTATATGTGGAGTTGAAACCAGCCTGACCAAAATCAACCCCGATGACGCTAACAAAATCAGACTCAAAATCACCAACATCCTCTGCACCAGCAAGCCACCCAAAAGCAACTTACCCAAAGAGGAACAGACAGCACTACGTAACCTGAAAGAAGACACCAGCATAATAATCCTACCAGCAGACAAGGGCAACGCCACGGTGGTTATGAACACATCTGACTACCAAACCAAATTAACCAACCTACTCCAAGACTCCACATACAAACCCCTAAATACAGATCCCACCACCTACCTGGAAAAAACCACCAGAACCAAGATAAAAGCCTCCCCCATTAGCGAAGAGATCCAGCAAAGAATCATTCCCAGAGAGAAATCATCCAGATGCCCTAAACTCTATGGTCTCCCCAAGATACACAAAGAAGGAACCCCACTCAGACCTATAGTCAGCTCCATAGGCTCACCTCTACAAAACCTAGCCAAATTTCTCGCCAAACAACTACAGCCCTATGCAGAATCCATCACCTCACACGTAAAAAACTCATTCCAGTTTATAGAGATCATAAAGAAACAAAACTTACAGCCCAGCGACCTACTAGTGAGCTTCGATGTCATATCCCTCTTCACCCAAGTGCCTATCAAAGAAGCCTTGACAGCTATTCCAAAACAAATATAACCCCCCCAAACACATCTTAGATCTGACCAACCACTGCCTATCCAACACATACTTCATCTATAACGGACAAAAATACAAACAAACAGAAGGAGCACCCATGGGATCACCCCTCTCACCTGTCATTGCCAACCTCTACATGGAACACTTTGAAACCCAAGCTCTAGAAAAATCGGATCACAAACCCAAACTCTGGCTCAGATACGTAGACGACACCTTCATAATCTGGCCACATGGGAAAGAAAAACTGGACAACTTCCTCACACACCTCAACAGCCTACACCCCAAAATACAGTTCACCATGGAAACAGAAGCTAACAACCAACTTCCCTTCCTGGATGTCTTAGTCTACAAGAAATCCAATGGCTCCCTAGGACACACCATCTACCAGAAGAAAACACACAAAACCGCTATCTGCACGCTCTCTCACACCACCACCCAGCACAGATCAACTCTGTAGCCAAGACACTCATCTCCAGAACAAAACGCTTAGCTGACGAACAACACCTAAAACCCGAACTACACACTCTCACCAATGTACTAACATCCAATGGATTCCATAGAAATAAGATTACAAACCTAATCCAAAAAGAAACCCCCACTAAAATCCAAGACAAAGAACAAGAAAACGGCAAAGCCCTCCTCCCATACATAAAAGGCACCACAGACAGAATCAGTAAGATCCTCCATAAACACAACATCAAAACAGCATTCTGCACAAACAGAAAAATAACCACCATCCTTAGAAACCCCAAAGATAAAATTGAATTAGAAAATCAAGGAGTATACGAAATCCCATGCACCACTTGTCCCACCACATACATCGGACAAACCAACAGAAGAATAAGTGCACGCATTGAAGAACATAAGAACTCAGTCAAAAAAGAGGAACCAACATCTTCCCTGGTCCAACACCTTAAAGCCACAGGACATGAAATTGACTTTAAAAATACCAGAACCATTGCAAAAAGTGAACATTTTAATAACAGAATAATCAGAGAAGCCATCGAGATAGAAAAACGCCCACACAGCATGAACAAGCGAGATGATACCTCCCGCCTACCAGCCATTTGGAAACCTGCCCTTATTGACAAACGACTCCCTAACCCCAAAATCTTAAACCCCTCTGCAACTCAGACTAACCTGAGCACAACCAAACAGAACACTCCCCCAGACAATCAGAGCACAGCCAAGCCCCTAACCATTCAGAACACACCTCCACCCAATCAGAACACAGCCAAGCTCCCATCCAATCAGTTCATACCCTCACTGGCAGTTAAAAGGAAGAAACAGCTAAAACCACACATTGCTGCTCAAAGCAAGAAGCTAAAAACACCAGCCTGAAGATGACGAATGTGACTTCGTCGAAACGTTGCCAAGACACTTCCAATTTTACGCGGGAGAAAACCCGAACAACCAAAGACCTATATACAAATACCCGCGAAAACCTCAGAAAACATATATATATATATATATATATATATATATATATATATATTAATAATATAAATATATTCACAACTTAGCCATGCCAAAGTGGATAGTGTTTATTCCCAAGTATTCATAGAATTTTAGTTTAAGGAGGATGTCTCAAGAGGATACTTGATCTTTAGTATCAAATAGACAGAGCTGAGAATATTGTGCTAGCTTTTGTTGTTTACTGGGAGCAGAGTAAGGGGAACAGTATGCTTGTCTGAGGTGGTATAGGTCCTCCTGCTTGAGCAGAGGGCTGGATTAGAAGACCTCCAAGGTCCCTTCCAGCTCTATTCTACTCTTAATAAATGTTGCTTCTTTTATGAGTAGTTGTATGTTTTGTTTTTTACAGATTGCTTCTGTGACAGAATATGGAGCATTTATAAAAATTCCAGGAACCCAAAAACAAGGTTTGATTAATTATACGGTGATTATTTGGTTGACATTCTTTTGTTAGTAGAGTGAATTGTGTTACTTTTTCACTTACAAGTGTTAAAGTTCCCATTCCCAAGTAATCTTGGTGGCTTACACAAAGCTTATACTGCTAGCCATCAGCTTATGACCACAACTGACCCCAAAATTTATGTTGCTAAGTGAGACAGTGAAGTGAATTTTGCTCCATTTCACAACCTTTCTTGCCACAATTAAGTGAATTACTGCAGTAGTTAAGTTAGTAATATGGTTGTTAAGTGAATCTGGCTTCCCCATTGATTTCGATTGTTAGAAGTTCGCAAAAGGTGATTGTTAGAAGGTCACAAAAGGTGAACCAATTGCTAAGCATCCAAATTTTGATCATGTGACCATGGTGATGCTACAATAAACATAAAACGGTCATAAGTCACTTTTTTCAGTGCTGTTGTAACTTTGAACAGTCACTAAGTGAACTGTTGTAAGTTGAGAACTAACTACTTGTGTTATGGGAAAATGAGTAGAAAACAAAACTGAGTAGTTTCTTTTTAGAACATAGGCAGTTTTAGAAAATTATTGATTTCTAGCAGAAAATAAAATATTTTCTCTCCTCTTATTGCCAAAGGCCTTATTCACAAAAGCCAAATGTCAAACTGTAGGGTGGACAAACCTTCAGAGATGGTGGAGGTTGGAGAAAAAGTGTGGGTGAAACTTATAAGAAAAGAGGTAAATTTGTTGCTCCGTTTACTGATATCTACCAAATAACGATTTCACATTTACTGCACAACTACTTTTATTAAAGAGGAATGATATCACAGCCTTACATTTTTACAGGCAAAGCTCCTGAAAAAGTATGCAATCTGAAAATCTAAAGTCTCATAGAAAACATTAATTTCATTGGAATTTTAAATAAACATGGAATTGAATTAGTTTGAGTTTTATGAATGATGCGGTTACAAGACATCTCAAATGAGTTCAAAAATTGATCCTTTCTGTAAATTTATTGTAGCTATATGCAACTCAGACAATCAAAGCTGTTTACATATTTCACAAAGCACCCAATCTGAAATATCCAGTTACATTCTGCCTTAAATCATAGATAGGTTGATACTATCTGAAAGCTCATTGTGAGTAGCTAATGTATTTTATATTAATACATTTCCACGATGAAAGTATAGTACCATAAAGTGATTGTTATAACCTCAACATCAATTTTTGTCCTGGGTATCTGGAAATGAAACAAAAATCAAAATGTATTGCCTTGTGTTTTCAGAAGAAAGATGACAAATTGAAACTATCTCTTTCCATGAAAGTTGTTAACCAAGGAACGGGGAAGGACATAGACCCCAATAACATTGTCCTTGAGTAAGTGAAATCTCCATTCCTCTGATCTTTATTTTCTATTTCAAAGATCTTTCTAGTATGACTTGTCATGAAGAAAGTGTAAAAATCCAACAGTTGTTTTGAGCTCGGTAGAAGAGATCATCAAGATGGGGTCTTCAACCCCAGTTCTGTGGACCAATACCAGTCTCTGGCCTGTTAGGAACTGGGCCACATAGCTGGAAGCTAGCGGTGGGCAAATTAACCCTACTGTAAACTGCACATGCGTGGGATCTAGGTTGTGTGCTCCACCACCACCACCAGCCCCCGTCTGTGGAAAAATTGTCTTCCACAAAACCAGTCCCTCATGCCAAAAAGGTTGGGGGACCACTGTACCAAGAGATCCTACAACAAAATGTAGTGTGGAAGATTTCTATTCAGTATTTCATCCAGTCTTATAAAACATGTCATTCCACTCTTTCTTGATTTTCTGCCCACCCTTAGAATACCCAGTCAACATTTTTTGTTTAATAAGTGTGATTAAACCATGCCAAGGTGTTGGATTCTTCCCACCTTTGATGATTTGGATGATGATGGTTTTTTTGCAGTTATGCAGATTGTGTTATGTATAAATGGTGCCATTTCAGCTAAAGTATTTTTATTTATCTTCCACATTTCTTAACCGCCCATTTCAGCTCTGTGTTGGCAAATGAGTTTCATTACTTCTGTTGTTATTACTTATTTCTACACAAACATGGATTTTCAAAGCAGTGAAAACCATCTTGTTTTGGCAGGCTTTTTCTGTAGACCTGTGTTTCTCAATCTTGGCAACTTTAAAATGAAACTGGAATTTTGGGAGTTGAAATCCACATTTGTGTAGGCAGGTGGTCCTGGGCTGCATTTGTAATTTTTAGCATGTTTTTATGAAATGTATTTTTCTAGTATATAAACTGCCTTGAGCTGTGATAAGTCGAATGATATAAAAAGGTTGCCAAAATAATTTTGTAATTGCATAGATTTCTGATTATGGACAATACAGAATCAGGAAGCTTTCTTTATTAATTTTCTTGACATAACTTAAAATGTATTCATTGTTCCAAATACAACCAGGTTTTTCCCTACCAATATTAATGGTGTTTCTGTTTTTAAAAATTCTTGTGTTTGTATGCAGTCAAGAGGCACGGAAAAAATGCTCCTTTAGAGATTATACCAGTCAAAAGATCACTCTAGAAGCTGTTTTGAACACTGTGTGTAAGAAGTGTGGTTGTCCAGGTATGTGATTACTTTTAATTTTTTTTTCATTCATTGTGTATTTTCAGAGAGTTACAGAAGGTAGGGATTTGAAAGACGTTGAGAAACCAAGGAAATACAGCGTTATTTGTGGGCCTACAGTATTTTATCCCATTTTATTCCATTTTCCTCAAAATTGGAGAATATAAATGTAATGAGACTTAAGCACTTAGGTATAAATAGCATCCTGAGTTCATGTATAAATCTTGAGGAAATATAGAAGAGGAATCTTAAAAAGGTTGCCTTATTTTATGTATCTATATAATTCATTTGTTGCAGGTCATTTCGCAAAAGATTGCTTCATGCAGCCAGGAGGGACAAAATACACCCTTATACCAGAGGATGAACCCATCCCTGCAGAAGATGAAAAGAAAGCTCACCACTCTATGAAGAAAAGGAAAAAGGTATCTATGCAAATTCTCAGTCATCCAGGTCATGATTGTCCCCAAGATGGTTTTTCAAGAAGCAACTGGGCTTCCTTTGTTTTTTCTTAAAAACGGTTCCCTTCTCATCCAAGAAGCTTCTTCAGTTCTGACTGAATGGTGGAGAATGGAAGGATTTATATTCTTTGCAGTCATCTGGTCTTTAGCACTCCCTCTGAGAGATGTTGAGGCCACTTGGAGGTTTATCTGTGCCCTCAGGTTCACCTGAATAGTGCAAATGGGTATGGAACCTTCTTGGAACTGCTGAAAGGATTGTTGTAAACAAGAGATAGGTGGTGTCATATCCCTCCCCCTCTGGTCAGAGAGCGCCTTTTTGACCTCTCTTTCAAACCAGCGGTCCCCTCTGTCCATAATGTGGACTGTGCTGTCTTAAAAGAGTGGCTTTTGTGTTTCATTGAAAGATATCAGTTTTTTAAAGCTGCATCTCAAATATTACATAACGAAGCTATGCTGTTAAATAGATAAGAATTTGTAACATTTCACAGGGCTCTGACATTAAAAGATACAAAATTATCTACCGAAATTTCTCTGAAGACTGAGCATGCTTAATTTATAATTAGATGCCAGTCGTCATAATGTAGTTTAGTTTGTGTTCTATGTAACCAACAATGGCTTCTATTTCTATTTAACTTTTTATTACTGCAAAGAAGTAGCTATATTATACAGGTAGTCCTTGATTTACAACAGTTCATTTATGACCATTTAAAGTTACAACAGCACTGAAAAAAGTGACTTACGACCATTTTTCGCCTGACCGTTGCAGCATCCCCATGGTCACATGATCAGAATTTGGATGCTTGGCAACTGGTTCATATTTATGACAGTTGCAGTATCAGGGGGCCTTTTGATCACCTTTTGCAACCTCCTGCCTAGCAAAGTCAATGGGGAAGCCAAATTCACTTAACAACTGTGACAAGGTTATAAAGTGGGAGGGGGGAACTCACTTAACAACAGAAAATTTGGGTTCAATTGTGATTGTAAGTCGAGGACTACCCGTAGTGATATATTTGCTTTGTCATACAGAATTCATCAAGAAGTTGTTGTTTTTTTCTCCTGACAAGAATAAAAAGAAAAAAAGGAAACGTAAGAACACAGATTTGGAGGTTTCTGACACCACCAATTCTGACAATGGGAATCAGCCAGCTCGGAAGAAAGCAAAATGCAAGAAAAAAGCCAGTCTATCTCGGAAAAGTAAAAAGAAGCATCATAAGAAAAAGCACAAGGAATGAGAATGAGTCTCGGACTCTGGGCTGCATGTGTTTTCATTGCAGAGTGTGACTTCCATTCCCTCTGGTCATCATTTGGAAAAAAGAACAACTGGACCAGCAGGATGCATTAAGATAACATGGTTTTTCCTTCTTTGAAAATTACTTTTGTTTCTCAAGGATTATCACAAGGATGGCTATTCCCCTCCCATAAAGTGGAAAGGAAGGAGCAGCCAGCATGCCACTGGGTGGTTCCTTGTCCCAGATGTTGACTTCATGTCTTGTGAAATCTTGCTCTGTTCTTTCATTTCCTCATGCCTGGATTTTAGCCAGCTTCTTTTGGAGCAACCTAGAGCCATCTTACAGAAACTTGTATGGAGCTGGCAGTCGGTACATTTCCTCACTCAGGGGAGCAGCAATGTGTTGACTCAGCATCTGCCAGTTATTGCCTGCCTACCAGCAGAAGGATCTGAATGGTGCACTCTCTCTCCCCTGAAAGAGACACATTGGTTGAAGAACAGTTCATGCCACTGCACTCCCGTTGTCCCATTTGTCCTGTAATACCGTAGGAGGAAGAAGTCAGGTACAGGAGCAGTTGTCTTAAAAACCGAGAAATGAGCCAAGTGTTTACCTTTGAACAATGAATAAAGTTTTCGTTTGTGGGGTTCTCTTTACTATAAGCTTGGATTTTTGGGGAAGGGACAGAAATGAGAACTCTTCCCGTTGTCTCACTTTCCTATTGTGAGAGATTCCAGCATTGTCTGGAAGCCCACTTACATTATACTTGGTTAGCTTTTGAGGCTGCAGGGGTACAGTCAGTGATTGTTGCAGTGGATGATGCTGCATTTTGGAGCTTATTTTTCCCAGACTTTGGGTGGGTTTAAGAAGAGAAACATAAGACTCCAGACCTCAGTGAGCCTTCATAGAGCTATTTTGCTCCCCTTCCCCAGAAGAGAAAATTCCCTGAGTAGGGCTCACATAAATGAAACTGAAGGCAGTGTGCTGCCCTTATACTGACCATTACACTTTAGGGCATTGTTACTTAGACAGGAAACTGCTGTTCAATTCCAGGGCTCTAGGCTAAATTGGGAAACTGAAGTACAGCCTGGCAGAAATCAGTGACAATATAGTGAGTTCTTTTTATTAACAAAAAAAACCCCTACATGGATGAGCCCATGAAACACCAGGAGCCGAATCCAACTTGAAAAAATGTAACTTTTCCCCCCATTATATTATTTTAGCTATTAAGACTGCAGACGTGCAGTCTGTGACATAACTGTCAGAGTGTCAGCTTTTCTGCATTATCCTGGCAGCTTTGAAGCTTATGCTTTTAGTTATATCCTGTATTTCTGCCTTTGGGAAATCTAAGGCAATTTACATGAGGTGTGTAACTAAACTTTCTTTGAACAGATTAAGTAAGGTAGCTTCTTGCAGATCATGCCTCTAGCATAATACTATTTCTCAGAAATGTATCTGTCAATCACTCCAAGAACTGTAATTGCCAAAAAAACCCTTGTTTGTGCCTGTATTACCATCAGAAGTTCTTCACAGGAAACTACTGCTTGTGTATTATCCAATTTTCTTACTCTGTGATTGGCACAATACACATTGATGACATGAGCCTCTACACAGTGTAGCCTTATATGCTCTTTGTGTTACAAGGAGAAGCAGCGCATGCTTAAAAGTTTTCAGCTTGGTTCATAAAGTTTTTAAATTAGGATCTGTAGTAGAGCTGCTAAATCTTTGAAGGGCCACTTTGCTGAATTTATTTATTTATTTATGAGACTTATATACCGCTTTAAGTGTAAGCAGTGTGTGTGTGTGTGTGTGTGTGTGTGTGTGTGTGTGTGTGTGTGATATATATATATATATATATATATATATATATATATATATATATATATATATATATTTACATTGCCCCCAACAATCTGGGTCCTCATTTTACCTACCTCGGAAGGATGGAAGGCTGAGTCAACCTTGAGCCGGTGAGATTTGAACCGCTGACCTGCTGATCACAGTCAGCTAAAGTGGCCTGCAGTACTGCACTCTAACTGCTGCGCCACCTTGGCTCTGAATATAAATATAGATTTGAGCAAAGTATCTCTGTGTAGTGCATTCCTAAGGACTCTTAACAGATTACAAGATGCACAAGAAATGATACACAATAACAAAAATATACCACTTAAAGGTCTACGAGTGAATGAAACCTTAGAGTAACAAAATGGCCAAATTATAATCCAATTTATATTAAGACCCAAGTGCTATCTGTTTTGAGCAATTCTGGGATGCAATTAGGGTTGGAGCCTGCCAGATGTGCATTTGGAAGCTGTTCCAAAGAACTGGTCCAGCAACTTTACCCCCATTCCAAAGGATGCAGCTAATTTTCCTGAGTATATCAAACTCTCCAGACTAATCCAATGAGAGAATGCAATCCTGCACATGTTTGTCCATCGATTTCGATGAAGACCTTGACATCAACAATGTGTCCGTAGGTGGCTAATAAGACCGATGTTAGCACGGAATGTTCTGCCACATACTGAACAAAGAAATGTAGACACTGTTACTTCAGCATTTGCAGCTCTGGCTTTGCGGAGTGCTCGCTTTTCTTGTGCCAAGATTGTCCTTCTGTGTTCATATGTCTGGCAACCCTGGTACACCAAGGTGCGCCATGTCAGTTGATCATGCGCCAGAAGTTCCCAAGAGATGGTGTTAATATCCAGGGACTTAAGAGAAGCTTTCAATGTGTCTTTGTATTGCTTCTTTTGTCCCCCGTGCGATCGCTTTCCTTGAGACAGCTCACCATAGAAGAGCTGTTTAGGGATGTCATGATCTGGCATCCTTACAACATGGCCTGCCCAGCGCATCTGGGCTTTCATCAACAGAGTGTAAACTGATGATAGGCCTGCTCTGGAGAGGACATCTGTGTCTGGTATCTTATCCTGTCACTGGATCCTCAGAATTCTACGAAGGCAAGTCATGTGGAAGTAGTTCAGTTGCCTAACATGCCTCTTGTACACTGTCCAGGTCTCACTAGCATACAATAGGGTAGTTAGCACTGCTGCCTGGTAAACTTTAAGCTTGGTAGCAAGACTTATTCCACGGCGGTCCCACACGTTAGTCCGCAATCTGCCAAATGCAGAACTTGCCTTGGCAATTCTACAGTTGACCTCGATGTCAATTGTCACTGCACGGGAGAGGGTACTACCAAGATACGTAAATTGGTCCACTGCTTGCAGCTTTTGTCCCTTTACTGTGATGGTAGGCTCTTGATATTGGGCTTTTGGAGCTGGCTGGTACATCACTTCAGTTTTCTTCGTGTTGATGAAGAGGCCAAAGTTGTCACAAGCGGCTGCGAATTTGTCCATGCTGGCTTGCATTTCCTGCTCCGATCCTGCATTAAGGGCACAGTCATCAGCAAAGAGGAGATCTCGTAGCACAGTCTCCTTTACCTTGGTGACAGCCTGAAGTCTTCGCAGGTTGAACAGTTTCCCATCGGTTCTGTACCTCAGATTAACTCCCACTGAGCTGTTCTGAAAGGCGTCTTGACAGCATGGCTGAGAACATCATGCTGAACAGGGTTGGTGCCAGCATGCAGCCTTGCTTAACGCCGTTAGTAACAGGGAAGGCCTCTGAGGCTCCACCGTTACTCAGAACACGAGCCGCCATGCCATCATGAAACTGTCATACCATCAGAATAAACCTGTCAGGGCACCCAAACTTCGACATAATGCGCCATAGTCCTTCACAACTAACTGTTCAAAAGCCTTGGTGAGATCCATGAAGGTGGTGTATAGTTCACGATTCTGCTCCTGACATTTCTCCTGGAGCTGTCAAGCTGCAAATATCATGTCCACTGTGCCACGCTCTTTGCGGAAACCACACTGTGTCTCAGGTAGTATACCGTTCCAGATGGTCAATCAGACGATTTAGCAACACTCGTGCAAAGATCTTGCCTGCAACAGAGCATTTTCACTTACATCTGGAAACCCCTTGGCAATTAGTACAAGAATCACATTACTGCTATAATAATGATCCCACCAGCAAAGACCAGCTGACACACAGGTAATCTGATCCAGCTGAAAACTATAAATGATCTTCAAATATAGTGTGTGTTGCAGTAATCTAAGCAGATGGTGACAAGTCACTACAGTTAAGATTTTTTTAAGGTAGGACTGCAACTGGCTTGCCAGCCAAAGCCACAACTTACTTTTCCAGCAGAAGTCATGAGTCCAGGTGTATACCTAAGTCATAGACCTGTTCCCACAAGAGCAGTGTGCAAAATAATTATTGACCAGATGTATTGGATGAATAAAGACATAATTACCCAGAACTGTTCCTCTCTCCATCCCAGTTATTTTTTTTTTTATTTTGCAAAGATAAGAGGGAGAGGTTGGTGAGTCAGTAGATCTTTCCATGAATTGCTAACTGGGTATCTGTTTGCTATTAAGTTACCGGTATCCTAACATTTGGAACAAGCCTCTTGTTTATCCAGTGTAGAAACTGTAGCAGGAGAGTTGCATTAGTCCATAGTAGCCAAAAATAAGGACTGACACATTTTATTAAAAGGCATCAGTTGTTGAGCTGTAGCTAACTTTGTCAGATATAGAAATGCAACATTAATATAATGCTTAAGAACCCTTAGTTGGTGACAGATTCAAAATACATATCTGGCATTCTCGTCTTCCAGGATACAACACTGGTATCAGTAGTGCTCAAATCCACTGCTGTTACTTTTGACTCACGTGCTGATACTCCAGAAGGAAAGCATAAAATGTTTCAAATGTCCAATGCAATTTAGATCGATACAATCAAAAACAAATGGGGAGTTTGTTTTGTTACATTAAAATTTGGTCATTTGTCTATGAGAAACTCATTGGAAATATATTGAAGGGACCAATCTCTTAAATAAAATACTCTAGGACTATATTTCTTAATCTTGGCAACTTTTAAGATGCATGAACTTCAACTCTAAGAACTGAACGCTGCTTGGGAAATTCTGGGAGTCAAAATCCGCACATCTTAAAATTTGCCGAGGTTGAGAAATACTGCTCTAGGAAATGGGGCTTTATGTAAAGACAGCTATTGTTTCAGTGTGCTTTATTTAAAATTACCGACTCCTTCCTCAAATACAAACACTAGAGAATCTCTAGACACTGACTAAGCAATGGAGCAAGAAAGTTTGGTCAAAAATGATATAACTATCCCAGGAATGATGCAGTGCTTTGGAAATACTGTTGCTGACAGCAGGAGAAAATAAAACTGGTATGGCACATTTTTCCAAACCTGTCCGTGTACTTTAAAAGTTGTTCACTCCACCCAGAGGTTTGTGTCTGAGTTATTCCAGTCTGCTCACTGCTGTCTGTATGATCCATTCTGGTTTTTCTTTGCTGTGCCTTCCTAAAATTGAACTGATAAATAAGCCATACTCATGTTTCTAGGGCCAAATTATATACAAACAAGCCCAATAAAGACACAGGACTATGAGTGCTGTGATGTTTTAAAGTACAGGGACTACACCTTCCACACTAGAAAAGGAATTCCATAATTCAGATCTGCAAGAGATCTCATTCTGAAATCAACCTGCCTAGTAGATAAAGCAGGTGGTTCCCTGACTATCGAATCACCATGCAGCCGGCAGAGTAATGAGACAACTTGTAAATTTGCTGGCTGGGAAAAATCTTGATTATCTTGTTCCAGATCTTTAGTAACATTTGTGATGAGAAAAACAGACTTGACTGATAAGCAATGGAATATATAGTGTTGGAAAACCAACTGATTTGGAATACACAGATGAGATTGGCTGATCTCATCCAATATCAGTCTTACACATATTTTGTTTTGTAAAGCAATAGAATATGGTAGTTTTATAGAACGCAAGCACATCTCAATATAGCAGATTTTGTAGCTCTGATGCCAACTAACAGGCAACAGTGAGGTCTAATGCAGGCTTGTGTGTTCGATTTCCCAAGAGCGCTTTAGACATGCAACCGCATGAACATAGCAAATGCCTCTTTTGTTGCAAAAAGACACCATTGCTGTAAGCTGTTGCACACTGTTGTTACATTCATTCGCCTGCAGTTGATAAAACTCTGTAACAATAATCTTGAAATCCTATGATTCTGCTGGGTAGATAAGTAGACTCTAACCTTCAATTTTGATGGAAATGTGGGGTTTTAAACCAGGCATACTCATAATCCTGATAAAAGCAGAATTAGGCATTTTTGTAACAATTGCTTCATTTTATTCTGTTTTTTTTAAAGATCTCTTCAATTGTAAAAATGTATGTGCAAACCTAAAACTCCATAAAAGTCAAGGTGACTGGCACTTACGAAAAGAGGTCAAGTTGGATACTGAAAGGTCTCCAAAATTTCAGTAAGTATACAAAACATAGAAAGGAGAAACAAAAATACCAGCAATTTGGCAGTGAAAAATAGTAGTAGGAAGGAGGTAGAAACTCTCTAGTTATCTTTCTGGTAGGTGCGAGTGCAGACCACATCACCCATTGTCAGAGTCTGAAAGAGAAAATGATACATAAGACAATTATCTTTTATTCTGGAATGCAGAAAGAAAATCTGCCTATAGGAAAGAAAATTGTCACTTTTTCTGCACTGTAAATTATTACAGGTTTGGTTTGCCCAACATGCTCATTTTAAATTGAATCAAAATAAACCAAATTATGATATAGTGGCTTGATCGGCCCTATGGCTATATTTCTCTATGAATAAAAGATTGTTCCCTACCTTTTTCTAATGGAATAAAGATTGTCTTAGACTAAACAAGTATTTACTCTAGCTTTTGTCCAAGAATTCTATATTCTCTTCCCCAGAGGAAAGAACTAAGGATTGAGTTGATTAATTCTGTTAATCAGTAGTTGATCAATTCTATGCTTAAAAGTGTTCCTTGATGCTGAAGGTATTTCTAGCAGGATTGTGAAAAAGTTTTCAAATCTGAAATACACTTTTTGAGTGCAAAAGACCCAGTTTCAATCATTGGACTACTGTGAAAGGGTGCCAAGACACATTCTAAAATGGGCCAAATAATCCACTTCTCACTCTAAACCAAGTGTTTTGAACTTGAAGCATTTTGCACAATATGAGTTTCTGAAATATGTAAAAATCAGATATTTCCAGGTAACTGAACCATGGATGCTGCACACTGCATTATTTAGTTTTATTATCCCTTTGACGGTTTATTCATTTGAAAGAAATAATTCAGACTTCCCAATTAATTCTAGTAGATTTTCATTGTCTAGATGTGCTTTGGCACCACTGATATAACCAATCTCAACAATTTCCAAGTGAACCTTCCTACAATAAAAGCCAACTGCCAAGGAAGAAAGATACGTTGGGTCTCTTACCAAAATTAGTTTGTCATCTTTTATTTCTCGAACGAGTGAGGTCTCCTTTCCATTCCATTTTTGTATGTGAACAAGTTTCCCTCCATCTAGTGTCACAATAGACTGTAGAAAGAAACAATCTTACACATTTCATAGCCAGACAACTTTGGGGATTATGAATGGAAAAAGGATTATGCAAGATTTTAAAAAGACAATTGAGTCTGCAGTTATGACTTGCCCGTTTTTCTGTTTGTGTTTGCATTAGTCATTTCAAAGCAGAAGCCCAGAAGCCTAGATTAGATAACTGCATGTTATATGAAATGGTATGTAACTGGTTTGCTTTAATTAAAAAAAAAAAAAACCAGCCACAGAGACTCCTGATTGGAATCACGGTTATATCTTAGAGAGAATGGTAAATATTTTCCATTTCTACCATGAATCCATCTAAAAGCCTTTCTCAACCTCAGTAGCTCCCTTATCTTTTCTCCTTTTGCATCAATGGAAAATGGGGGAAAAGGATTGCTAAAGATCCTTGAACAATATACAAGACAAAGGATTAGCTAAGGAAGTAAAATTTTCCATGAGTACTCAAAGGAATCTTAAGAGAAATTAAAGGTCTTGGATGAAGCATTTATGAGACAACACTATAAACAATACTCCTTATAACTGTCCTGCCAAGAAACTTTTTTACTCCAGCCACAATTCCATTTGTGGCTAAGGGCAATTTAGTTGCAGAATATAAGGTCTTTTTGGAAACTAGATGAGTGGCATTACTACCCCTGACTGGACCTTCCATTAAGGCCGCATCTCCCATTGAATCATGCTTCTATAGTGTCATTTTAGCTTAGCATGAAGCTCAGCTAGCTGAGGAATTTTGAGAATTGATGTCCACATATCTTAATGTTGCCACATTTTAGAAACTGCTCTAAGCAGTTTTTCTCTGCTGGCTATTAGCAAATTGCCAGAGTTGCTCTGAATGTCCGCTAAGCACAACAATACATATGCACTTCTTATGGAAAGCCCACAGGTTATTTCCATTGATACTCATGTTCTCAGAACAGCTGTCTACCAATTAAATTGTATTTTTAATTTATTAATAATTGTTAATCACAATAAATAAATAATGCATTTTAGCAAGCCTTTGATATAGGCGCTTTTCAGAAGAATGATATCAGTTAATGGAATTGTATGCAATTTAATTGTAAAAAGGCTACTAATCCAAAGAAATAACTACTCTGAAACTATTTTCTGACTTTCTTGTCATATAAAGTAATGTTCCATAGCCAAAGTAGACTGAAAACAGACACTTTATGGCATCCTGCAGCCCTAATTTTAAAAAACATTTTTCTAGCACTGTTTAAATATCCTGGCAAGGCTGAATTCTAATGAAGATTCTTCTGTCAAGTCAGAACTATGGAATAGTCAAGGCAGGTATTTTATTTATTATTAAATTTATTGACCATCCATTTTATCACAGGGTAACTCTGGGCTTATAATTTTAAACTAGTAAAAATAATTATCTCAAGGTTTTGATCTGTCAGGCTGTCATTTACAACTACTTTTAAAAAAATCAGGAGCACAAGTTCCTTTTAAGGACCAGGAAGATGAAAGCCATATGAATGGGCTTATTTTATTGAAGTTCTGATAAAAGTTCAGTTTCATGAATAAGTATCCAAGTTAAGACTGGCTTCAGTGTTTATTTAGGAATAAACTTCCAATCAAAAAAGGGAGTGTGGGTGTGACATTCTGGGCCATTCACATAAAATACACAAAGGGCTTCAACTTCAGGCTTTGTCAACAGACACTGTACACTTTGAATATTCTTGCAGCTGCAGATCAATAGAAAAAAGCCCTATATGCAAACCTTCACAACACAATACAATAAAAACTTTCCCAACTATCCATGTAAGATTTCAAAAAGGCTGAATAGAACAGGCTAAAGGTTTATCTAAACCAGCACCAGCCAATCTGAGGGCCATAAGAAAATCATGAAGCATGAGATCTTACCATATGTTAGTTCTATTAAAAAAAGAGAGACTATCATGGAGAAGAATTGTTTCCAGCTATGTCGTCCTTGAATTTAACTTAACTCCTAGTTTTAAAAGAGAGAAGGACAAATTGCCCCAACTCAATCTTCCAACTATTATCAAAGTCATTTTGGATACTATATTCCAGGTGTCCTGTCTTATTGTAGGAGACAGGATACCTGAAATATAGTATCCAAAATGACTTTGATGACAAATGGACAAAGGACAACTAAGAAAAGCTCATACCCAGGGAGATTTACCCAGTGATAATTTTCATCTATCAGCAAGGATCTTATTTTGCCCCAAAATTGTATTATGCATTTTAGGCACATAATAGTAATATGATAAACGTAATATATACCATATACTGCATAGTATTCTAATTTATTTGTGAGCTGTTTTGAGGTGCTGAGGGATGGGGAATGAATTCGGTATATAGATCTACACTTCTCATGTAGGTGTGGTGATATTCCATATCAGAAATTAAGCAATTAATCTGTTACCTATTTTGCAATTACCACTGGTTTTGGCTGGTGTTTGTTTGTTTTTTGGAAGAGCCAAACAAGGCAAAATAGGACGTGAACATCCACTAATTGGAGCAGTCACTGTTAATTTAGATGGCCAAAAAAAAAATCTGTACTGGTGAAAAATTGATGCTGAAGTTCTTGTCTAGACTGTCAGTAGATCCTAAAGGGAATGGCAAACATCACTGCTCCAACTGTGATCAGATCTTTACCTTGACATCCCTGCCATCTGCTGTAGTCTCATCAAATTCTTCTCCCACTTTGCAATTGATCTCTGTATTCTTGAAAGTGCTATGAGTTTTGATGGTAATTTTCACACAATCCACCTCAATAATGGTGGTGGGTTTGGTCAGATTGGCAATTTGTCTTGTGGCAAAGTTCACATCTATAAGAAAGGAAAAAGAGGCCAAAAATAAAAATTCTGCTTTAGATTAAAATGTCCTTTCCTTACTATTCTATAATTCTGTTGTTTTTTTTTAAAAAAGGAATCAAACTAGTCTGCCTAGATCAGACATGTCAAACTCGTATCGGGACAGTTTTGCCATTGCCAGCAATAGGGTGGGCATGGCTTCCGGATGACGCATCCGGCCAGCGGGCAGATAGTTTGACACCCCTGGCCTAGATGATCTTTCTGTCACTGGTTGGCTTTATATATCAAACTCAACCATGATTTTGTTAACTATAATTTGACTAAATTATAAATAATACTTGTAGAATGTAGGAGTTGGAGTCATATTGCACTAATTATTTGACTTATGTGTTAAACTCTAGTATGGTTTGTTTGGGTTTGACTGGTAAATCTGCCATGTTAGATTATCCAACAATAGTTAAAAGAAACACATCTCTTAGCATGTGTAGAATATCCAATACCAATCATAACTTTTCAGTAAGGGTAATGTCAGTAATGTCAAGTGCAGCTTCTTGAAGCAAAGTTGAAAGATCCTGAAAAGCTGAAAAAAGTTTCCCTCTCTCCAAAGAAAAGTCTTTATCAGAATCCAAGCAGAACTGAACGGAAGATGGAAGTTTTGTCAGGCAGCAAAAAGAGTTTCACCCAAAGAATGTGAATTGCCTTTTAGCTGCCAAGCCATTTCCCCACCCCCCTCCTGAGCAGAACCATTTAATGGAACGGACTTCAAAGAGCATATATCAAGCAATTCTTCACAGAATTGCTTGATATATGCTCTTTGAATAAGATGTGTAATCTAGAGAAGAGCCTCTTACATGAATGTAAAGGCTCTTTTATAGTACTTAGCCTTCCTTTGGTGTGGACTTGCCTTTTTGCATTTTGCTGCCTGATCTAATGGACTTATTCAGCAGGCAGCAGCTGTTCTTTCATGCTCTTTTATTTATTTATTAAATAAAAGCAGCTGTCCTTTCATGCTCCCATCCAATTTTTAAAGCAGCCCATCTCATGTATGTGACCCTATCCAGTCAGACATAAATGCTCAGTATTCCAGCTGCCAGCTCTCTAGGACATTAAGTAGCAAGGGGCAGTAGCCATTCAAGAGCCTGACTAGATTGGGGAGATCCAAATTCAAATTTCTCACCATCCCCTCAAAAGGCTACTTTGACCTGCGCTTGTTGTGAGCATAGAAAGACCGCTCAATGCCGCTTCAAAGGAAAAGTAAGGGAACAAATAAACTAAGGAAAGAAACTAGCCATGAGCATGAGGCATACTGACCTCTCCATTCACCAGAGGAACAAAGAATCTTTGCTTGGTTTTTCTCCATATGTCAACCTTGCTATTAAAGTTGGAGTTTCCTTGGGCAACAGAATTGGAGAACTAAACATCACTGTGGAAGGAATGAAATTAAGGAGAAGGACACTTGCTTTGCAGGCCCAAAGCCCCGGAGTCATTCCCTTGCATATCTGCTTAAAATAATTTGGGAAGGGAAGGGGTCTGTTCAAACATTGCATAATGTGGAAGGGAAGGGGTCCTTTGATAGAGGCTAATCAATAACAATGAAATGGGGGAAATGGCTAAGTGACCCAAGGGGATACACTGGAGGTCCCAACATTTTTTCTTGATATCCTTTTTTGCCCTTCAAGCCTAAAAGAACACACAAATGCTTTTGATTGAGGGGAACAGAAGTAGCCCAGAAACATAATTCAATCCTGCTTGTAGCAGCTTGCCCTTCCCCTGACTTTCCAAGTCCCCATGAGAAAAAGTTTAAGTTTAATCCAGCTTTCTCCAACAGGGGCTCTTAGACTTCAGTTCTCAAATTGTACCCCGCTTAGCCAAAGATCATAAGTCATCTCACACTGCTGCTCCTTGCAGTCTGATTTTGGCACCACTGACTTAATGCTAGCTTTCCAGGGTTTGGGCAGGATTTTCACAGCTATACTTGTGATCCTGAAGACTGAACCTGGAATCTTTGGCATGCGAATAGATGCTCTGCCATTGAGCAATATCCCTTCCCAAAGCTGCTCTTGAGCAATGAGGTCCAACAATCTGGAGAAGGCACCAGATAGGGGAAACCCAGCCTACCTCTTATTGTTGGAGATAAGGAAATATGCACATAGAGTCTACACAAATTATTCACCAAGGAAAATGACTTATCTCCTCTTTCAGGTTCTGGCTAATACATATCTGGCCTCCAAATATTAAACAGTCTTGCTTCTTTGACCATGTAGCTCTATTTAAGGGGATTCACATTCAAGAGAGTTAAAAATAAGCCTATATAAATATGGACTTCTGGCTTAGTTGCTGATAGCAAGAAAACACTATAAAGACAATACTGTGGCATGCCTTTTGAAGCACTATCAGCACAGTCTCCCATCTCTATTGTTGCAATTGTAGGGAGAAGGCATGCTGACTGAAATGCCAATTCTGCATCGGACAGCTGGAGAAAGTAGCAATAGACTCACTCAAGAAGTTTGCTGGCCATCAGCAGTGAGATCGTTTATGAGGTGGTATGAGTGCATTTCTCAACATTTGGGTGCATACTGTGATGGGAGTCTACCCCTGGAGAAGCAACGGAGATAGTTCCCAGAGTTTTCCCAGAGAATGGACAGATTGAGCAGGCCCAAGCTGGATGTGGGAAAGAGGTTCAAAATAGCCATGCACTAGCATCTCTCAGAATATATCTATCAGAGGAGAGGGTTACAGTTTTAGTGTGGCAAGATTCATTAAGTGTAAGCAAATAAAGCATTGGACTCCATTGGATTTTGTTATGTCATCTTTGGGCTTGACACACACTTTGGTACTGGAACTGCTTGGAAATCAAGCACTAGAACAAGGGTCTTCAAACTTGGCCCTTTTATGACTTTGTGGACTTCAGCTCCCAGAATTCTTCAGCCAGCGTGCCTGGCTGAGGAATTCTGGGAGTTGAAGTCCACAAGTCATAAAAGGGTCAAGTTTAAAGACTTCTGCACTAGAAGGTCCCAAATTCAAGCAAACTTTCTACCTTTCCTCCAGTTTAAACTAGAGTTTGTCATGGTTATGATAGTTCATAAAAAGCGAGAGAATATACTTCCTCCTCATTCCATCTGAGATTTTTTTTATTGTGCTACCTATATAATAGCATAACTGTTAAGTAAACTTCCCTTTAAAGCTGTAGCCTCCACTGCTTCACAGGGATCTGAAAAAAGTCAAAGGAATGAAAACTGCCATACAGATCCGGATGAATTGCCAGCATTTTCCTTGCGGATACAGATAGGTTACAAATACCTCATAAATCATTCTCATTGCTGTATTCATGAACTCTAACCCTGATAGCTTCTGGCAAACCTCTGGGATCCACTCAGCAGAATTTAATGGAAAAACCCTGGTTTTTTTTAATATATGTATGTATGTATATATGTACACATACACACACACACACACACACACACACACATATTATTGAAGAGTTTTATAAAAGTTACAATATAAACCCCTAAACCAACCCACCCTAAACCCCCCTCCCTCCCCCACTTCCCAGAGCTGAGTACAGGGTTACAATTATAATAATCATAATCTAACTATCATTAACCAATTATATAAATAACCAAGTCCATAATGCGCTTTAACTCCCCTTTAGCATAAATATAAACAAATTAAAAGTAAACATAAGACTAATAAAAACATAAACATAATATCCTAATTATTAAACTAGTTATTATCCAAATTGTTAAACAATAGTAATACTAAGAATAATATCATATAATTAAAACTAAAAATTCCACTATAATAAGATATTAATAATAATATTCTAAAATTTACTCATAAACTAAGTGGAACTTTTTAGTCCCGTATTTATTCTGATTATAATCTATCCATCTTCTCCAAACCGAAATGTATCTTTCTTGTGAATGATCCTTCAAATAAGCAGAAATCTCAGCCATTTCTGCTAAGTTTGACACTTTAAGCGTCCATTCTTCTATAGTAGGCAAGCAATCCTGCTTCCAATATTGCCCTACCAATAACCTTGCTGCTGTTATCAAATTTAATATCAAATTAGTTTCTTTAATATCACAATCTATAATAATACCCAATAAAAATAATTGTGGAGTAAACTTTATCTTTCTCTTGAAAATCTTTTGAATGTTCCACCAAATCTTAATCCAAAAAGCTTTTATATTTTTACAAGTCCACCAGATATGAAAATAAATAGCATCCAAACTACCACATCTCCAACAATCCCAACTAAGAACTAATCAAGTACTTTTAATCTTTCGCAACAATATGAGTCCCTGCAAGCAAACAATGTCATTTTTATGTTGTTTCGAGTAGTAAAATACTTTCTTTCTTTTCTGTAATAAATTCAGGCCATTAACATAGTGGCCTGAAGACTCTAAAACACTTCTTGAAGATCAACCTTGATCTCTTTGGTCGTGCCCCTCCCACAGGCTCTATAGTAATCCAGAATTAGCCTTCTGTTTCTGCTGCTTTTCTTTACGTCTATACGCAGCACTGAGTCATCCTCTGTTCGTTTAAATCATCCTTTACCTCCAAACTCTGTTCAATAGGCTCAGCCTGCAATAAATCTACACCTTCAACTGGTTGTTTATCTTCCAGCCTTTCTTCTATTCTCTTAGGTCGTGAAGATGGTGGTGAATCTGCTTTCAGGACATAAGTATAAAAATCTTCTGCCTTTGAAATTGTATTAAGTCTATATCATGTCTGTGCATAATTCACCAGTATTCCAATAGGTATCTCCCATCTAAACTGGACCTGTCAATTTTTAAGCTCCTCAGACAGAAAGGCGAAGTCTTTTTGTTTTCTAAGAATTTTTGGAGGTATTTCTTTTAAGATTATAATATTTTGACCTGCAATTTGAAATCTCTGTTTGTAGAAAGCCTGAATAATTACATTTCGAAGTGATCTCCTGGAAAAATAAATAACCACATCTCTGGATAAGTTTTTCTGCCTCGCCATCCATGAATTAACCCTAAATATTTTATACGTCTCTCTTGATAATTCCTCAGGTTCACATCCCAGAATAGGAGCTATAGCTTTTGCCACCTTCTCGTTCAGATCTTCTCTTGGGTCCTCCTTTAATCCTCTTATTCGCAATGCAAATTCCATATCTCTATATTGTGAGATGGTAGCTTCATCCTCTATTATATCAATCTTATTTTTGACTTTAACAACTCTGCTTTCAAGTTTTTCAGTATTTTCCACAACTTCATCCACATCATTCAAACCCTGTTATATTATGGCAGTATGTTTGCTTCCCTATTTTTTTTAATAAAAAAATACACACAATCAGCTAAAAGCTTCTCCCTTTCCTGTGTAAATGCAGAATTGTAAGTGAGCTAGCTGTACCAGTGGGGGCTAATGGAGCTACCTGGAGCAGAGTGGTAAGATATATGTTTCAATTACAGGTAGTCTTCAACTTAGGACAATAGGTTACTACCACAAGATACTGCAATTGGCCATAAATGCAGTCAATTGTAGAGCACCTAAAATGCAATCTCATAACCCGGGCGAGGGGTCTAGCTATCAGAACTTCATAGACAGTCCTGGGGAAGTCTGTTGTAACCCCAAACAGTCACTAAGCATTAAGTCAAGAATTACCTGGATAAAAAAATTGAGAGTGGTCAAGATGACTCAGTTTCTACTCCACCTTCAGCCATAGAAGTTCCCTGAGGGCCTTTTGACCAATCACTCTCAATCCCACCCACTTCCGCAAGACTGTCATCAGGAAAAATTAAAATTAAGAAACTCTTCAGCTTCCTCTCTGGGGCTGCCAAACAAAAGGCAGGATACATATGTAATATAGATGAATACCTTGTTGTTCCACAATCATCCTGTGTTTGTTTTAGGTAGAAATAAAGTCTGCTAACTGTAGTGGGATCACCTGGTTAAGGATCCTTACTCAGCACACAAGAATTGGGGGGGGGGGGATGCCAGAATTTTAATCCCTTCTATCTGCAAAAGTAATTAAAAACTGCACCCAATGAAGGTAGCCAAGAGCTGTGCAAAGTTGGCCTAAGGCCAAGGCTACACAGGAGTTAAGAGGTCAAAGAATTCTTACTTCTGGCAGGATCAGGCCCAGAAAGGGGTGGGGGGAGGGGGAATTTGTACCAGGCTCAACACCAGCTGAATGAGCAAATACCCCCATGGCTCCCACACCCTCTTCCCTCACTACACACTGAGTACATCCGGTCCCTAAAGCCCTTAAGTTGCAAGAAAGCCCTCCAGGATTCTAGGCTTACTCATGAGAAGCAGCAGCAGAGTCTTGCCCTATCAGAGCAGCTTCTGACAGAAAAGGACACATCAAATGATCAATCATCCCACCTCTACACACCCTCTCATTCAGTGAAATACACGCTTTGCCCTCATGTACCATAGTTCCTCTTGCAGAAATCACTACCAGATGCTGAGCTGGTGGGGAGGAGAAGCCAGAGAACCCCAGGTGCATGGCTGGCTAAAAGAGGGTTCCAATTAAATTTACCACACTGACATGAGTTTACATAAGGAGTTAATGCTAAGTACTAAAGTGTTGAAAGCCTAGCCCTGCAAAATCCACCTCTTTGCTGCTTTATCTCTGAGCAATGGAAAATCTCAAGGTGTCATTGCATTGTATCCACATGCCTCAAATGACACCAAGGACAGTCACTCATGCCTTTGTCATATGACATAGTTTATTCTCATTACTGGGATTACCTTGAAAACTACCTGGGAACAATTAGGGGGGACACACAGCTGCCCCTGGGCTGACTGCTCAGGCTCATTACTACCATGTTACACCACAGCCATTGCATTGTCTAAGTGCAACTCAAGGTGCTGGATAATTATCACCTACAAGCCCAGCTTTCCAGAGCACCTACTGATAAGTCTCCCTCCCATTTTGAAAGGGGATAGGAAGGGACTCGTTGGTGGGGGCCCTCCTTCTCTGGGACACTCTGCTCCCCTACCAGGTGGCTCCCATTCTCATGGCTTGTCAGGGCCCGCCTTTTGCAGAAGCTCTTTGACTCTATCTTGCCAGCCCCACCAAGATACACATTGTGTATCATTTGCGGGAATTGCAGTCATCCCCATCCACTGGCCCATCCAGAATTTCTTCTATTGTTGGAACCTGCACGTCCCTGGGAGACTGTGGATCGAGATCATTCCCATAAATAATAATTACGAACCTTATAAGCTGGACCATGGGGGGGGGGCAGACGGGGGACCCGAAGTGGGAGACCCAGACCCCCATTTCCAAACTACATCCATTTTTTATTATTTTTAAAGTCGAAAGGCCATGATGGACGGAGACCGCTTCCCGGAGGAAACCTAACCACAAGCACCATATTAGCAAAACTCTAGCACGCCGTGGACAAGGCGTCGCCCCGGCCGTCCACGAAGTCAACCTTTATTCTCCAAAGCGAGCGCCGAGTCCGTTTCCCTCTCACCCCCCTTCCCCAAATCTCTGCCCTTACAGTACCGAGAGCTTTCATGTAGTCGTCGAAATTGACGCTCTCGACCAGCTTCCACACGCCGACAAACGCCTCCGCCATGGCGATTCTGAAAAGTCTTCTCTCTCTCTCTCCTCCGAAATACAACCGCAGCCGGGGCAGGCAAGCAAGCACGCGCTCTCACTCTCCACCTCTCGTCTCTCGCTCAGGCGTACTTTCCGATGGGGCTCGTCTTTTATTTCTTCTTCTTCCTCCTCCTCCTCCTCCTCCTCCTCTTCCCCTCCTTCTCACCCACCCACCCACCGGCCGGCCTCCTCCTCCTCCTCTTCCTCCTCCTATTCTCTGGTCTCTTTAAATAGAAGGGTGTGGGAATTCTGCAGCATTGCTTCGCCCGGCTTCGGGATGCAAGCGCTGTCTCGCCAAGCCTTCGGCGCCTTTGCAGGATTCGTTGCCCTGCAGCCTTGCCAAAGTCGCGGCCGCGCCTCTCTAATCGTGGGCAGCCGCTTTGGGCTTTTGTTTCAGAAATTCACCAGCGCAACCCTGCCCTGTATCACAGCAGCAAGACAGGCTAGGATTCAACGGGGGAGGACTGGGGGGAGTTATGGAGGCCGGGACGCCGCAGCAAGAGGATTTTTTGGGGGATGGGGGAGGCGGAGGGAGAGGGCAAGCGGGGGAATATCCTAGCTATGGCTATGCTGGTTTGGGCTGCTGGGAATTGTGCGGTGAAATCTGGTGGGGCCCCTGGCTTCCCATGGCGCGCTATTATTGCTTCTGCTGAATAAATTGCATTGTATTGCATGCCACTCTGCGGAGGGTAACTTAAGCTTAACAGGTATAATGGCTTTGATCTTTATCCAGTTTTACTTTTAACAGCAACGGAGGTGGGATCTGCTGGCAGAATGCCCCATGACTCCTGGTAACCTCCAAAGTCATCCGCTGCAGTTTTACATTTATTGGTGACTGGAAGCCTCTTTAAGAGGTTTTGCGTAAAAAAAAAAAAAATGAATTTGGGATTTATGGTTTGGATGTTTAAAACGGGAGAGATTACCGAAAGAAGAGTAATAGGCTGTAACTTTAAAGAGATTAAAATACGTTTGGTTAAGGTATATAGTTGTACTTCAACCTGCTGTGAAGGATATTGGGAGCCATATATACCTGGTTTTTTTCTATTTTTCTTCAACTTTTCTGGCAAGGTTTTTTTTTACCTTTTTTTCTTTATATATTAGGTTTTAATTTTGTTTCAGTAAAAAATATATACTCCCCACAAAACACCTGCTGCAATTTAGATGCAGTTCAGATGGCTTAATGCTTAGACTGAGGCTTATCCTAAAAATTTAGGCAAGTTGACCAGAGTGTGGTCAGAAAAGTCAAGATGGTGGTCCCCATAGTGCAATCAAAATTCTACCTTTTTTTCCCCTGGGCATACAGATAAGGCCAGCTTACACTCCAACTAAATTCTAGATGTTTTCTTTATAAGGAATTCTTATTTTGCCTACTATGGAATATTGTCTCATCACCTGGTGGGGCCATCTGGTTTAATTTAGCTCTCTACCCTGAGAGACTAGAGCAGGGGTCTTCAAACTTGGCCCTTTTATGACTTGTGGACAACTCCCAGAATTCCTCAGCCAGCATGCCTGGCTGAGGAATTCTGGGAGTTGTCCACAAGTCATAAAAGGGCCAGGTTTGAAGACCCCTGAACTAGAACTAGCTTTTGGACTGAAACACTTACTGGGCTCAGCTACTAAGGACACTGGTTCAAAATCTCTTGCTTTTTTGCTTCTACAATGGGGGGGGGGAAAGAGAAACCCTATTAGTTGGAGCTATTCCAGCTTCCTGAAAATTCAGGCACCCTCACCATGTAAAAGAGACTCCATAAAACCTTGCTCATGCATAGCTAGGACTTAAATGATAAAAGCAGAAATGTGGTTTTAAATGCAGATCAGCTTAGTGAGTCATATAAACATGGGCCTGAACAGAAAAAAAAATCTGCAGCTGGTTGGTGTGGAACAGCTAAGGCCATTGCTTGGGAAGGAATTAGAAGAGGCCCTCTGAGTTCTTGTGCTGTCACTGGCCTGGAGCCCATCCTGGGAAAGAAGCCCATGGAGAGGTCACTGGTATAAAGTGACCTTGTTGGGAAAGACATGTGCCCTAGGTTGTCTGCCTTCACAAATAGCCCAGTGATGTTGTAGGAAATGTTGAGAAAAATATATCTGGAGGACACCACCTTGAGAAAGGTTTCTGTAATGGCCAGAGTGAGTTCACAAGCCCAGCTATTTTCATTCCCTCCCCACTGGCTTCTTAACTACTCCCTCTGCTTCTTCCAGCATAATTACTTTTTAACGCACCTTAACTGAACAAGCTGATTACACAATGTTGCTGCCCAAACATTAATTTGAGCAGCAGCTAACATGGTAATTGGAAAAGGGGAAAGATTCGAAAGGGCCTTGGGTCATAACACCTCATTGGAAAAGCTGGTTTGTGGTTTAATATTTCTTGATGTCTGTTTAAATGTTAAACCCCTGTAATGAGTTAATGAGCACGACTGGGGTGATATCTTACATTCCACCTCACCAGTTGCTCTTTAACTACTGTATGGTGTTTCCCAAGCAGGCACATTTACTAGCAAATAGATTGCAGCTGTATCTCTGCAGATTCATATACCAGGTTTCTAGATTAAGGTCAAGCAAAAAAAAAAAAAAAATTCCCCTAATTTTTGGGTGCAAGCAACTCCCAGCAATGCTGCAACTCAAAAGCAACCAAAGCTGGGCATGCAGTGTCACTCAAATTCCCCCCCCCCAAATTATAAAAGCTTTGGTTACAATTGCCATCAACTCGCCATTCAATAAGAACGGCCAGGAATCTTAAGGCCACATTGCCATTTGCACTGAACTAGAGTAACAACTTTTTCCTGCTGCGTCCCTATGTTGGAGCCTTCACCTTATCCCCAGCCTAGGAGTTTGATAAGGTATCAGTCTAGAAACCAAGAAATGGTGAGTTCTAGTCCTGCCTTGGGCATGAAAGTCAAATGGGTGACTTTGGGCCAGTCACTGTTCCTCACAGGGTGGTTATAGTGGGGGAAATTAGGAAAAGGAAGGAGTATTGGGTATATATGCTGCCTCGTGCTATTCTTAAAAATAATACAGGCAGGATATAAATAAATAAGTCACCCTTAACTATATCGGTGCTGCAGTAGCTCCTTCCTCATTTTAACTACCCTAATTCCAAGGGCAGCCATAAATGTGGGTCAAATCAATTAGGCCTGGTTACCTTTCATGTGAAAGAGAACTCAGATGCTTGTGTTGACTCGAAACAGTAGCCATAGACACACTCTGAGCTACAAGAAATGTTATGCTGATGTAATTTTCTGCCGGTTCAAAAATAAATAGAGCATTGAAGGTCAGTGGTGGGCAAAGACTCTAAGAGCCTTGGTTAAAGAGATTGGAGGGGGAGGAAAAGATGTGCTAGACAATTGGGCTTAATTTGTTGTGCAATTACAGTCACACTTTGCACTAGCCCTTATCGACCTGATTTACACAATATCCTTCACTATTAATGCAGTCTTGGCTTAGTATGTCAGGTGAACCTAGATCAGTGGTGGTGAACCTATGGCACAGGTGCCAGAGGTGGCACTCAGAGCCCTCTCTGTGGGCACGTGCGCTGTTACCCCAGTCCTAGGCTTTTCCACTTTAGGCTTTTTCGCTTTAGGCCTCCGCCACCGTGTACAAAAAAAAAAGGTTCAATCAATCAGTCAATTTCAACTTCTTGCGGGGAAAAAAAAGATCTTGCAAAGTTGGAATTGATTGATTGAACTTTTTAGCCTCACTCAGTCTGCTGTTACCACTGCAGCCATGCTCAGCCAATGGGCCACACCCACCCAATGGGCCACGCCCAGCCAATGGACCACACCCACCTGGCACCCGATGATGCATAAGTGGGTTTTGGGTTGCCGTTTGGGCACTCGGTCTCTAAAAGGTTCGCCATCACTGACCTAGATTATGCAGTGTGCAAAACATAGAATATGGTATAGTGTGGGGCAGGGGTCTTCAGACTTGGTCCTTTTATGACTTGTGGACTTCAACTCCCAGAATTCCTCAACCAGCATGCATGGCTGAGGAATTCTGGGAGTTGAAGTCCACAAATTATAAAAGGGCTAAGTTTGAAGACCCCTGGTGTGGAGCCTGAACCCAGCCACTATTATCTAATGGAATGAAATGTTATAAAACAGGATACAAGCATAGGTTAACCCGAAATTATGGGAATGGAAATCCATCCATATCTGAAGGTTAACAGTCTTAAGTGAGGGCAGAGTAAAGTCAATATTAAACACAGCATCCCAAATAGTGAAAATCTAAGTAAATCTAGTAAAAACGTTTTCTTTCTTTCTTGGTTAGGAAAAGCAAACCAAGGTTATCAGCTTGTCAAAGTCATTGGGAAGTATTTGAGGAGCAGCACCACCTATTGGTTAGGGTGTGTCATCATATTTCTGTACTAAGCTGTTTGGAAAAAAATAAACCTTTAGATCAGTGATGGAGAATCTATAATGTGTGTCAAAGGCGACATGCCACAACATTTTGAGTGACATGGCAGCATTCACCAACAACTTACAGCAACATCTTGAAAGCACACCCTGTCCTGGTGTGTATTCATTCATTCATTCATTCATTCATTCATTCATTCATTCATGTATGTTCCATGACCGCCCATCTCAGTCAATGACTCTTTTTCAGAGGCTGCACAAAAATGGGGTGTGCTTTCCTGTGGCCTCCGGAAATTGTGCAGTTCCCAGAGCCTCTGAAAATCATGAGGAAATGGAGATGTGCTTTGGGGCGGTTTTCTGAGGCTAGAAGAGCATTCTCGGAAGCCTCTTCAAGAATGAAGGCCTTGTGGGACCCAAAGCCGCCTCAGGTAGGCCGCTGAGGCCTATCAACAGAAAGAGAAACTGCTTGAAGGTAAGCAGCATATGGCAAATCCCAGGGACCACTGGGCCATGGGGTCAGTCACCTCATTTCCCAAAGCTCACACACTTGAGGAATGGCATGAGGTGGCCTCTTTGAATGGCAGATGTGCATTAGGTCTGAAGTTGAGGCCTAGCCTTTACCTCAGGTGCAGGCTTGGCACTGCCACTAAGTGCCACTGTTCAAGGTGGCCTATTTGTCAAGGAGGAAGATAAAGATTTTTTTCTTTTTTTTTTTCAGGGGCAATATTAATTTTATTATATTTATTTGTATCCAGCTGTTATTATTTTTACTAATAACTCAAGGCGGCAAACAAAAACACTGAAAGCTTTTAAGAAGAGATTGGACAACCATTTGTCTGAAATGGCATAGGGTTTCCTGCCTGAGCAGGGGGTTGGACTAGAAGACCTCCAAGGTCCCTTCCAACTCTTCTATTCTATTCTATTCTATTCTATTCTATTCTATTCTATTCTATTCTATTCTATTCTATTCTATTCTATTCTACCCTACCCTACCCTACCCTACCCTACCCTTCCCTATCCTATCCCTATCCCTATCCCTATCCCTATCCCTATCCCTATCCCTATCCCTATCCCTATCCCTATCCCTATCCCTATCCCTATTCTATTCTATTCTATTCTATTCTATTCTATTCTATTCTATTCTATTCTATGTAGAAGTAGTGTATACCTTTTTTAATGAAAATTATCAGCACTTTTGATCAATGACGTCAACAAAGTAAACAAACCCGTGTGCTGATTACGTCAGCAGGTCATGGCCCTAAACGGAAGTGACGTGCTCAGCCCCCACCCTCCGGATGTGATGTGTTGGCCTAATCCCATCAAGATTGGCAGTCAATCCTCTGGGTACATGATTAGGTTAACCCTAGACTAATTCTATGGACATTCAAAACCAAAAAAAGCTAAGTAAAGTGAATAATTAGCAGAGGCCTGTGTTTTTGGGAAACAAGCCCTACTTTGGGGAGCTGTGAAATAAAAAATAAAAAAGTCTTTTTATTTCTAATCATTCTAGTCTAATGATGCTTTTAATTTTTGTGGAGTTTTAAAAATCAGTGCCTCAAAAGCTGGGGAAAAAGAAGCCCCTGAAAGGCAGCCAGAGCCTGCATTTAACCCCTTTTTTTCTAAAAGGTATTTTTTTAAAAAAGGTATTTATTTCTAGGTGGCTTTAAAATCATTTCCTCGAATGCAGGGGAAAAAATAAACAAACCACAGTCCCTTTTAAAACCCACAGCTGGTTTTTACCTTTGTAAAAATCTAAAGACACATATTTTGCCATTTGCACCCTGAATAAAATTTATTCTGCCCCCCCCCCTATAGTAAAAGACAAGGAATATTAAAGGAATTAAAATGCTCACAAGAGGCAAGCAGCCAGGCGGCAAGTAAGGGTTTAAAACTTGTTCAGGCATGTCAGGACCGCGATTCCGGGCATTCGTGTTTCTGTCTGCTAGTAAAAAAGGGGGTAGGCCTTGTATGGAACATGCCTGGGCATGTCATACTCCCTGTGATCTGGGCATGCGCAATGCTCAAGGGCGTGTCATTGCAAGGGGCAGGGGAGTTTGTGCGGGCAGGCCTGAACAGCTAGTGATTTAATTTCAGCAGTCTTTTGAAGATGGCAACCTCTGATGGATATTTGTTTGCTGTAAATTTGACCTCCAAACCTCCCAAGCATGGGCACAGAATAAGAAAAGGACCTGAGTTATATGGATTCATTGAAGAGAACAAACTTATAAAGCCTTGTTATTGCAGATTCTGCAAAACATCAAATGGTAAGTAAATATATATATAAAAATAAGAAAACAGTATTTTGATTGGTTGAAACAGCTAGCCTAAATCTACCTTATTTCCTGCTTTAGAAATGGCGGAGTCTCAAAATGTCAGCATGCCTCAGATTCTGAAAGCATGTATCATTAAAATATTATACCACTGCTTAATGGGATGTCTACAATCAAATGATCAAATAGATAATATTGGTGAAACAGAGCTTATTAACAGCTTATGCTTTAAACTTTCTATGCCTCATGTTCTCTGGATCATCATCAGTATTTCTGACAAAATGAATAACTTATATTTCACCCGGGAGTCCCTTGGTGACCTCAAGACATTCATACAGCATATTGAAAAGGGCCGTAAACCACTGTCATTAATGTCAAAGATTGAATCTGAATTGCCATTGTCTCTGAAGAGATTCATATGCCAAAATGTAACAGAAATTAATTATAAGAAGCTGTTAATGCTATGAAATTTATAATAAAATGTGCTTTATAAATCACATGAAAAATGTATTATGTTTTTTCTTTTGTTGACCCCTGTTTAATCTTATTTATTTATTTATTTATTTATTTATTTATCAGATTTATATACCGCTTTAAGTGCAAGCACTCTCTAAGCGGTGTACACCAGTAAGCAATGTATATATATATTTACATTGCCCCCAACAATCTGGGTCCTCATTTTACCTACCCCGGAAGGATGGAAGGCTGAGTCAACCTTGAGCCGGTGAGATTTGAACCGCTGACCTGCTGAACACAGTCAGCTAAAGTGGCCTGCAGTACTGCACCCTAACTGCTGCGCCACCTCGACTCTTTAACCTTGGCAGATGTTAAACACAATTTAATCAAAGCTCATGGGATATTATTCAATTGGGTTTTCCTGATGAGGCGGGGCTGGCCAGTTTTGCAAAAGTTGTGAAGAACTCACCAACTCTGATGTGATTAGTTTGTAACATCACGTACTATTCAAATGCAGCTTTGCAAAAGTTGTGAAGAACACACCTCCTCTGATGTGATTAATTTGTGACATCACCAGCGTATACAAAAGCAGGGTCCATACTGGTCTAGTCACATTTGCTGGTTTCTGGCATATCTGTACCTCCAGAGCCATTTGATCTGCTAAGAAGACCCTTTTCAGAATGGAAGCCACTATTGTAAGTAGTTTTATGGCTAATTTTTGAAACACTTAGATGCAAAATGGAGTTTTATAATATTCTTGTCTGCTTGCTTGTTTGATTGATCAATTGTTTTATTTCACTAGAATGAATTGACAGACTGAGAATGTTTGAGGGTATATGAAGGTATTTGTTTTTCATACTTTCCTACATTTAGATTCTGGCAAACATTTCTGCAACAATTCTGACCATTGGGGTTTTTCTTTTCCTTAAGAATGGGAGGATGATCAGCCATTTGCAGATATTGCTATTACCATAGAGAACCAATTAACAGACTCAAAATGTTTGAGAGCATAGGAAGGTATTTGTCTTTCATGTTTTCATACATTTAGATTCTGGTAAACATTTCTGCAACAATTCTGACCATTGGGATTTTTCTTTTCCTTCAGAAAGGAAGGATTATCAGCCATTTGTGGACCTTACAATCCCCCAGGAGCTACAAGGGGCCCAGCATGACATGAACCCTCAGTCTTCCACAAGCTACACAACACGAATGCTGTTAGGAGGTATAATATCTTCAGCTGGGTGTTTCCACAGAAAATAGAATTGACTTTTCTCAGATACACCTCTTTGAAGAATATTTAAGGGTCACTATAAAGATCTTGTTTTATATGCAGGATGGTTGGCGGTTTTTTGTCACAGGTAGCCCCCAGCAAGAAAAAAATAGTGTTTATATTGTTACACGACAAGCATTATTATGGCATCAAAAATATCAAGGGCTTCTTGGGTGAACGCTATTTCTGTAAATTCTGCCACACACCCTACCACCACAAATTTAGTTATGGCTGTCAATATATCTGCAGAGCATGCCTCAACCAAGAATGCCAGCAAGTGGTGGAGGAGAAGATGTGCTGCTGTAGGTGCAAAGAGCATTGCCGGTCTAAGGTGTGTCTTGAAAGACACACACAGCTCGCTATGGAGGGAAAAGTTGACTGTAAGAATAAAGAATATTGTGAAACCGTGTGGGATTTACGTCTTTAGCTCCCACAAAAAGTGCAAGGAAACCAAGTGTGGACAGTGCTCTGAGAAAGTTGAAAGCTTGGAAGGGCATTTATGCTTTCAAAATTCGTTGGACTGGCCGCGAATTGGCAAAAGATACATCATTTATGATTTTGAATGCTGTCAAGAGACAGGCATCCATAAACCTAATTATGTCTGCGCCAGGGATATGTTGAAGGATGAGTATGATAAAGATGTTGTGAGGTGGGATTGTTATGGTGTTAGATGCCTGGAACAGTTTGTAAAGAATTTTATAAATCATAAGTTTAAAGGATGTACTTTTATCGCTCACAACTCCAAAGATTATGACGGAAACCTAGTACTGAGGCAGTTGAACTGTGAAAAGGTTAGGGTTCAGCTTATAAGTCGGGGGGGGGGGGAAACTGCTGTGTATCACCCTACCGGATTATAAGATCCAGTTTATTGATAGCCTCTCATTTTTGCCCCTTAAATTAAGCAAATTACCCAAAGCTATGGGATTTCAAGGCAGCAAAGGATATTTCCCCCACTTGTTCAATACAATGGCCAATCAAGACTACGTAGGACCACTCTCTGAAACCAAGTATTACAGCCCTGAAACCATGATGCCCGGGGAGAGAGAGGAATTCATGAAATGGCACTCTGCTAATACAGGTACTGTGTTTAAACTAAAGGCTCTAGCTTACTATTGCAGACAAGATGTAGATATATTAAGAGAGGCCTATATTCAATTTAGGGAACAGGTGATGGAAATGACTGAGCGTGAGTGTTTCAGGGAGGTCAGGGGGGATATATTGATAGTGATTTGATGCATTGATCCTTTCCAACATATCACATTGGCATCTGTCTGTATGGCCCAGTACCGGTTCATGTATTTGAAGAGCAATATCATTGCATTAGCTCCTTTGGACAGTTATCACAAGACACAGAAAAGGTATTCAGCTCCAGCGATTCAATGGTTGTTGCATATAGAGCACACTGAGAATCTCAATATCCAGCATGCTCTGAAGGGGGATGAAAAGCAAGTAGGCAAATATTTTTTGGATGGCTTTGCTGTCATAAATGGAACTCCCACAGCTTTTGAATTTCACGGTTGTTTTTTTCATAGGTGCCGTGTCTGTTACTCTGAAAAAGACTTCAACAAATTACTTGATTCAACATATGGAGGCCAGCACAACCGTACTAAGATTAAAGAAGAGTACCTCAGGGACCAGGGTTATGCTGTGCGCAGCATCTGGGAACATGAATGGAGGGCCATGGTGGAGGATGACACCTCTTTGAAGCAGTTTCTAGTTGAGAATAAGCTCCCAATTCCTTTGAACCCTCGAGATGGTTTTTTTGGTGGTAGAACAAATGCTACATGCCTGTACTACAAACCAAACCTGGTGAACAAATCTTATACTATGATTTCACCAGTTTGTACCCGTTTGTGAATAAGACCAAGGAGTACCCAATTGGCCATCTGCAAATCATCTACCAAAACTTTGGGGACATAAAGCAATATTTTGGGCTGGCCAAAGTCAAAGTGTACCCGCCAAGGAATCTCTATTTCCCAATCCTACCCCACAAATCAGGGGGGAAATTAATGTTTAGTTTGTGTGCAACCTGCCAGAAAAACTGCAAACCACCCCCTGTAAACACAGTGATGAGGAAAGAGCTCTGAATGGGACATGGTGTACCATTGAATTGAATGTAGCTTTAGAAAAAGGTTACAGAATAGTTGAAATCTATGAGATCTGGTTACAAGCTAGACTCCAGCAGTATGTAGATCAAGAACTACCAGAAGTACAGGCAGGATTTCGAAGAGGCAGAGGAACTAGAGATCAAATTGCCAACATGGAGAAAGCTAGGGAGTTCCAGAAAAACATCTACTTCTGCTTCATTGACTATGCTAAAGCCTTTGATTGTGTGGATCACAACAAATTGTGGCAAGTTCTTAAAGAGATGGGAGTACCAGACCATCTCATTTGTCTCTTGAGAAACTTATATGCGGGTCAAGAAGCAACAGTGAGAACTGGACACGGAACCACTGATTGGTTCAAAGTTGGAAAAGGAGTCAGGCAAGGCTGTATACTGTTGCCCTGCCTATTTAACTTATATGCAGAGCACATCATGAGAAAGGCAGGGCTAGATGAATCAAACGTTGGAATTAAGATTGCTGGGAGAAATATCAACAACCTAAGATATGCAGATGATACCACTCTAATGGCAGAAAGTGAAGAGGAACTAAAGAGCCTCTTGATGCGGGTGAAGAAGGAGAGTGCAAAAGTTGGCTTGAAACTCAACATTAAGAAAACCAAAATCATGGCATCCGGCCCTCTCAATTCCTGGCAAATAGATGGGGAAGAAATGGAGGTAGTGACAGATTTTATTTTTCTGGGCTCCAAAGATCACCTCAGATGGGGACTGCAGCCAAGAAATTAAAAGACGCTTGCTCCTGGGGAGGAAAGCTATGGCAAATCTAGACAGCATACTAAAAAGCAGAGACATCACCCTGCCAACAAAGTGCGTATAGTCCAGGCCATGGTTTTCCCAGTTGCAATGTATGGCTGTGAAAGTTGGACCATAAGAAAGGCTGAGCGCCAAAGAATTGAGGCCTTTGAACTATGGTGCTGGAGAAGACTCCTGCGAGTCCCTTGGACTGCAAGGCGTTCAAACCGGTCAGTCCTAGAAGAGATCAACCCTGACTGCTCTTTAGAAGGCCAGATCCTGAAGTTGAAACTCAAATACTTTGGCCACCTAATGAGAAGGAAGGACTCACTGGAAAAGGGCCTAATGCTGGGAAAGATTGAGGGCAATAGAAGAAGGGGACGACAGAGAATGAGATGGCTGGATGGAGTCACTGAAGCAGTAGGTGAGAACTTAAATGGACTCCAGAAGATGGTAGAGGACAGGAAGACCTGGAGGAACGTTGTCCATGGGGTCGCGATGGGTCGGACACGACTTCACAATTAACAACAATAACAACAACAACAACAATGAGATCTGGCATTTTGAAAGAACATCAAATGAGCTATTTTCAGGTTATATGAACACGCATCTCAGACAGAAACAGGAGGCCAGTGGTTACCCTGACTGGTGCAAAACAGAACAGGATGAAGAGCAATATATTCAGGATTATGAAAAGATGGAAGGTGTCCGTTTACGACGTGACCACGTAAATCCTGCTAAAAGACAGATTGCCAAACTGTTTTAAAATTTGCTGTGGGGCAAGTTTGATCAGAACACCAATCACCTGATCACATCCATTGTGACAAACCCTGAGGATTTATTCAAATATCTTTTTGTGCCCTATTATGATGTTTCCTCACGTGAGTTTGTGGATACAGAGACAGCCGTTGTGACATGGAAAACAGCCAAGAACCACCCCACCAAATCCACATGCACTAATGTATTTATTGCCAGCTTTACTACTGCTTATTCACGGCTGGAATTATACAGGCTACTGGATGGGCTGGGCGATAGGTGCCTGTACCATGACACCGATTCAGTCATTTTTGTAAGTAGAGAGGGGGCGTTGACACCTCCTTTGGGTGATTATTTAGGACAGCTGACAAGTGAGATTCCACTAAACACTACGATAACAGAGTTTGTTGCGGCCAGTCCCAAAACATATGCTTATGCTTTGTCCAATGATGAAGTGGTGCTAAAGGTGAAGGGAATCAGGCTAAACTGTGGTAATAGCAACAATGTTAATTTTGACAGCTTGAAAGATTTGGTAGATGATTATTGTCTGTCTGGTGCAGAGAGAAAAAAGGAGATCGGGGTAGAACAGTTGGGGATTGTTAGGATTAAGAAACAGTGGACTGTAGAAAGGTGGGTCCTCCGAAAAACTCTAAAAGTAGTGTATAATAAAAGGTTATTATAGAGTGAGGATTACTGTACGCTGCCTTAAGGCTATTAAGGATGGTGGAAAACATTGCACAATTTGTACACCCTTTCTCCTGTATTATAAGCGGGCCATCCAATTCTGGCAAATCTTTTTTTATCAAACAAATGTTAGAACATGGCGATGTTGTGTTGTCTCAAATGCCTCAAAATATTGTATGGTTTTATAGTTGTTGGCAACCTCTGTACAAAGAACTGCTTAATAAATTCCCTTATATTAAGTTTATGGAGGGGCTTCCGTCTTCTTTTGAAGATGATGATTTGTTTCTGCCAAATCAAATCACTCTAGCCGAGATAGATGATCTCATGGCATCGGCCGGTGACAGCGATCAAACAGAGAAGGCTTTTACACAGTACGTCCATCACAGAAACCTGAGCATTATTCTCATACTACAAAACCTGTTCTTTCCAGGTAAGAAAATGAGAACAATAGCTCTGAATTCCAAATATTTGGTTTTGTTCAGCAGCTTCTGTGATCAGATGCAAATTGTCACACTGGCCAGGCAGATGTACCCCACTAACACAAAGTATTTTTTTAGAAGTATTCCAAGATGCCACTCGCAAACCACACGGGTACCTTTTGGTAGATTTGGCAGCCACCACTCCAGAATCCTACAGGTTGAGAACAGGCCTCTTCCCACCTGATTGGCCTACTGTTTACACAATGATAAAGAAGTGTAAAAAGCAGTAGCCCAGTTACCTTAACACTAGTTCATTTAAGATGTCAGAGAGGGTACATAGAAATTGGGGGCTTTTAAAAATCTTAGTAAAGGCCGGCCCAAGACAGAGAAAAGCCATCTTATGCAATGCTAATAATGACCTGATGGGGGCAATAGCAGAAATAGCTCTGAACACCCTAAAAGGAAACCTTCCTCTGAAACCTTCACAATTCCGGTCTCTAAAGAGAAAGAAAGGTGTCATTAAAAAGTTGAGTGATAGAAAGATCTCACTCAAAAAGAAGAAGCAGATCATACTTCAGTCGGGTGGCTTTATCGGACCCTTACTAGGGACGGCTATTCCGCTGTTGACTAGCCTGTTAGCTGGATAAAATGTACGTTTATCGCTCACAACTCCAAAGGTTATGACGGGTACCTAGTACTGAGGCAGTTGAGCCGTGAAAAGGTTAGGGTTTAGCTTATAAGTCGGGGGGAAACTGCTGTGTATCACCCTACTGGATTATAAGATCTGGGTTTTATTTATTTTTTTTATTGAAAAATTTTATACAATATACATCCCAAGACCCACCCACCCCTAACCCCCCTACCCCACTTCCCAGAGCTGAGTACAGGGTTACAAATAAACAATCAAACTCTAAAAAACATTACCCAACTATACAAGTAACCAAGTCCATAACGCACTTTAACTCCCTTATAACATAAATATAAAGAAATTAAAAATAAACATAATAATATAAACAAATCAATATTGTTAAACCATACTAGAACTAATAAAAATTAAAAAAGAAACTATTAATAATACTCTAAAATTTACTCATAGGCTAAATGAAACTTTTTAATCCCATATTTATTCTGAATATAATCTATCCATCTTCTTCAAACCGAAATATATCTTTCTTGTGAGTGATCCTTCAAGTAAGCAGAAATTTTTGCCATTTCTGCTAAATTTGACACCTTAAGCATCCAATCTTCTATAGTAGGCAAAGAATCTTTCTTCCAATATTGCCCTACTAATAACCTTGCAGCTGTTATAAAATTCAACATCAAATTAGTTTCTTTAGCATCACAATCTACAATAACACCCAACAAAATAGTTGTGGCATGAACTTTATCTTTCTTTTAAAA